TGCCTTACTACGTTCCGAAGACATCTCACAATACTGATACTTCTCCAGGCTCCCAGTCATCATGCAACCCACACGAGCCCGCATGGGCCCGCCCAAATATGCGCCGCACCCAAACCACCCCATCCACATCCACCCGGTCCGACCGCTATACCGATTCATGGCCACCGGCCTCGGCGCGTCCATGTGGTTCTTCGTATGTGAAAAGAGCAGGTTGGAGGTGGCATAGCGCTAACAATGGCAGTTGATGTACCGCGCGAAGAAGGACGGACCGGCGCTCCTCGGCTGGAAGCACCCATGGGACCATTGAGCTCTTGATGAGCATCAGCAGGGGTGTGGGATTACATGACAAGCAATCGAGGTCGATATTGGGCACAGCGCATGTACATACCATGGATGACGCAGGATGCGGAAACCAAGACCGGTAGCTGTGATATCCCGCGCAGACAGCGCCAAGAAATCAGAACTCCAAGAAGATCATGCCAATCGTACTACTGTCATGGATAGGTGCTCATACTGGTGACCTTATAGATGCGCATCTGGAAACGATCCCGCAAAACATTGTAAAATCGAGCGCGCATCTTGATTCTCTCCTGTCCCGGATGTCACTTCGTTGCGTCCAAGGCATTCGCAAAGGTTTCTAATGACGCTGCGATGTGGTATCATGACGGCCGACCGGTCTTTATTCCAAGCTTCATTTTGTACCTATTGAAGGTTGGGAGAAGCATTCCACGCTCTGCAGCTCCGGTGCCCGGCCGTTTTGCACTTTCACTACCACGAAGACCTACCACAATAGCTACAATAGCAGCTGACCCGCAACGCGCTTTGCTGGCAGTCTTGGCGACTTGAACAATGCTTTAACCCGCGCCGCCTCTGACGCTGTGAACTACCATCGCCCCTCTGCTACCCAGCTCAACACCACTGGCACAGACACACTTCTTGCACCCACGCTCCCTGAACCGTCAGCACTTCCATCGGTTGATTTCCTCCATCACAGACTTTCATCCGCTGTGCACTTCACGGTCTTCGCTGGACAAATCGCTCCCCACTGGTCCTCCGTCGCCAATTTTTATTACAGACGCGTGTACAGTCTACTATCGTCACCTCCAAGCACAGACTTGTCGATCGCAGTCTTGTAAGGCGTTAAAATTAACTCTATGGGTCAAGGTCTAACATCACAAAGGCCATGGACACTGCTACCATGTTCGCCAGCGGCGCATCGTATGGCTCGTCTATGGTTGGTATCGTGTCCTGATCGCTAGACTCGTGATTAACATCTCATAGCCTGCACAACCCCCAGCGAGCCATGATCTCACCCACCTCAAGTCAGCGCTCAGCGGCTTCGCCGACCTCGCCATCGACAAGAACATTGAGCGCACCACAGTCATATACGTCGTCGGCTCTACTCTTCCCAAGCGAGTCCGCAAGCAAGGCGTCAAAGACATTGGTTCATCCCTGAACAGCATCTTCCGCAGGGAGAAGATTTTCCACAACGACAAGGAGGCTTTGGATTCGCTTGAGGGCATACTGAGCAAAGCCATTGACTACCACATCACCGCCACGGACATCGCGATCACCGACGATCGGTACAAGGAATTGACCGCTGCTATCAAGTTCGAGCTTGGACATATATCAGACAAGCAGGCTTTCTTCGCCCTGATCGGCCGTTTTGTCTCCAAGGTCAGTGATTGCTCGGGTGTACCTGTGCCTGCAGCCATCCTCGCTGCCAAGCGGAATGTGACTTCGGGCTGGGCCGCTGGCCCCATGCAGACCACCACACTTCCGATGAAAACTGGCTTCAACTGGAATATTAGCCAAGAGGGAAATACAGCCACTGCAGCCGAGTCGGACGACATGGACTACGACTTCGATGGTGCACCAGATATCCAGGCCAATTCCGCTCCAGGACCCGCAGACTCTCCCTTTCTTGGCGCTGTATTCACGTTCCAACCTGGAAATACATCTCAGAAGTCGACTTCACCTGCACATGAGAAGTTAGCGCCACGGCAAGGGGATCACGGCTACCTCGACGGAATCTCTTACGAGCTTCGCCTAAAAGGGCTGGAGTTCTTCCATGACGAAGTGGACAGAATGCACTGCAAGTTGAGCCCCTTCCAGGGCATGCTGCTCGACCAGGATGGGCTTTACGAGCTGACGCACGGTCTGGACGCCAAGGTCCTCCACGACATACACATGGAACTGTCATCCCGTTCCACTCCTCCGTCAGACACGTGGCTTGACGAGAGATACAAAGACAGGGTACAGACAGAGCTCATCGCTCTGGGCGAAGCAAGCCACTTCCTTGCAAAAGTGAAAGAGGTTTTGTACTCCAGAGACATCGAGATGGCCGATGTATCAGTCCACGATAGCTCGACCGATCCGACGCTCAACCAAGAAGAATTCGACGCCCTCAACCCTCTGAAAGCCCCATCTTCGCTTCAAGGACTGTCTGTCGACAAGCGCCGACACTTTCTCTGTCGTATGCTACGCAAAGCGAAGCGCATGAACGACAAAGCAAAGTCAGCGCAGAAAGAGCGGTTACAGCCTTCAGAAATGATGGATATGGTGCATCAAGACGAACTCGCAGTCCTTCACCGCATCGACTCCGCAATACAGGGCTCAATCTTCAAGCGAGATGATGTGGCAATCGAAAGAGCGTATGATAGCCAGTCTGAGTCTGAGCTCCGTGATTGCGGCAAACTGAACTCTTTCGTAAACAAAGTGAAGGGCTACCATCGGCGTCTAAGGAACTTCATCTCGTCGGCGAAGGGCCATTTCGTCGACGCCTTCGGGTTGCGTGGCGATAGCGGTGCTGCTCATACTGCTGATGCTCAGTACCCTCCTTCTTCTCCTACACCAGTCCAAGACATCAAGGGCTCATTCATCTCCGCCCTTACGAACGCTATCAACGCCATGAACTCTAGCGTGAGCGCCACACACAACCTTGACCAACTCCTTCTCCAGCCAGCCGAGATAGCCGATCTCGTGTCCAGACTGGAAGCTCGCATGCGGAGCGACCTTGAGCAAAAGTACATCGACACGCCTTTGACATATCAGGAGCAAGAGCCTCGATATGTTCAGGCTGCCAAAGACTTTCTACAGTGGATACAGAACACCCACTGCTTTCGTGAGACGGTCAAGCAGTATCGTCAGTTGACATCTTGAGGGCATGTTCGGTGACGGCGTGATTACGATGGAAAACCCGTCGATCTTGTGCTGTGCAACTGGGATATGTTATAACTCTGGTCTGAAAGTAAGCAATGCTCTGGCTCAATATTGTGTTTGGAGGCGGAGCAGCCTACGACTATCGCTGTGTAAGCGGTGCGAAGGATGTTTGCATGTTCAGACATCGAGTGGGATAGATGATCCAGGACCAAAGTGGCTTGGGTCGTTGACAACGATGCTACTTTCATCGCATTCAGGTTAGTCCGTAAGTCATCACTGTTCAACCTCACATCGCATTGGATTGACATTTGGCAGGAACATACATTCGGACTACTAGTGCTCGCGTTTTATCACTACCAGGTGTCGATAAAGCTTTTGTTTACTTCTAACATTTATTCCTTTGTATATATCATGACCATCCCGTCACCTCACACCATGAGTCCCTCCATACCCTTCTCAATATCCCTCTCCATCCTCCCCATCTCCACCATCATCCTCGCCCTTTCCGCAAAACTCTCCAACCCCTTCGGCGTCGCATTAGGCCCAACTTTTGCTACAGCCTTGAGGTACTCCATTTTCCGCTCCCCCATATCCTCACTATCCCAATTATTGCCCTGAATTCTAGCGTTAACCATATCCGCCGCCTCGTGCTCCATCTTCCTAGCCAGAGTAAGCAGTTGCGGTAGAGAAAGCTCAGTGAAGTCATCCCAGAAGGGAGCTACGCCCGCATCCATACATGCAGCTAGTAGCTTTACTTCCATGCCACGAGCTAGCTTGGGAATCTTGACGTTGATGTCCATGAGGGTTTGGAAGAAATCGGTGATTGTCTCTGCGCGGGTTTGGTCCATGGTGAGCGGATTTGATGGGGTGTGGAGGCTCTGTAAGTTTGGGTGTGAAGGCAAAACCTTGTATTTGTTTTGCTTCCTTGGTGAAGAAGAGAAGGGGTGAATTGGTGGGGTGATTACTGGAATGGGGTTTCTTCGCCTTATGAACGGTGGTACCTTGTTGCTGTGGAATGACTACAGATGAATGCATTGTTCAGTCACTATGTTGCCGCTGCGCAGTGGTAGTCATCGGCGCGTTCCGCTCCACCATTGTGACAACGTGGTAATGTATCCGAATGAAAGCTATCAGCTCTGTGGTGTGCCAGTAAGGCAGAAAAGGTTAAGTAAAGGCCACTAATGAACCCGCAAATCAACCGTGGGTATATAATGTAATGTATCTTTCTTCCTAATTTTACAGTATTCTATTATTATTAACGCGTACCTCCTTATAGTCGCCTAGCGCTATAACTATTAGTATGTGCCTTATCCTGCGTAGAGGAGTCTTTGTTAGTATTAGCTTATTTATTATTTTAAGCGCTTGCTAGATAGTATTCTACATACTACATTAAACACTCTACTACTAACACTAGTAGACAACTGTGACTTTTCCTAAGTTCCCCTTTCGCAAACCGTATGACCTTACGCAGGTCTACGCCTCCAATACACACCAGAACGTACAAGACCCTCCGCCTATACAGCATTCACTTCAGCTGCAACATATGCCATAGCTGCCTCTCCACGGACCATGGCAATGGGCAGCGCCACAGTCATTCACCAAGCGAAGGGAACCATCACATGATGTATTCAGCGACTCCCTGGGAGGATATAAACGCAGGCCAGCCGCCCGATGAAAGACCTTAACGCCCACCGACCAGCTCAACCACTTCAATCAGACTCTTGTAACTTTCAACCTTCTCATCAAAGTCCTTTCCAGCGGAGCGCGCTCGGCACGATCTTTCATTTCAATTCCACAACCACCAGCACACACCACCACAAGACATCAAGAGCTTTACAATGTCTTCTTTGTCCAGCCGCCAGACAATCAGTTCCGCTGTGCTTCTACAGAGAATCGGAGACACAGTCGCGCGCGGTGTCACAGGGCTTGCGACCAAGGCTGACATTGACGAGGTCAAGACTAGGCTGTCAAGGATAGAGTCCTTGCTTACCCAAGTGCTGCAAGATCGGCCACCTGCGCACCCTGCTGTACCAGATCAGGAAACTCCAACGGCTACCAATAACATAGAAGTCGGCGAAGATTCTTCACCCAAAGTTCGAGCTGAAACGCAGACTGACGTAGAGCACTCCGTCATCCTGACTTATAGAGCTCGTTGCTAACCAGATCTAGTCTGTTAAACCTCCAAGAGTTGTGCAAGAGGCCTACGTAAAGTATTTTGCCACCGTGTCGGAAGGGCAAGATGTACCGGTTAGTTAGGCTCCGTAGTCTTTCTGACTCGTACGTTAGTAACAATTTCAGCTTCCTCACCAGCTTGCCGACACTACATCCGTTAGCGAGGTGCCAACCCAAGCAACAGCTATCGATACCGCCTCGACCACGGCTGTGCTGTCATCAAAGCCAGTAGAACCAAGCGTGTCTACGCTTAACGAAGAGACGGTCTCCGCCCAGGCCGCTGCTCAAGCTGACGAAGACGCACTGTCGGATGAGGAGTTGAGGGAACTTCGGCCGCTACGTCAGCAATCGACACGTCTTTTCTGCATCAATGAAGACTTCCGCTATAAGACCCTAGTCGGCTTGTACCGTGCTCTCAAGTGGAGGAATCCGCCTCAATCGTCATCCCGGACCCGCCTCCCCGAGAGCCAGTTGATCAATATGGCGCGCCATGCAGAATTCGACATTCTTCGAGGCATAGATCGAAGGATTGTAAGGAGGCAAATGGCTTCAGCCCCATCGCTCATACTCAACGAGTACTCAACAGGTCGGCAGGAGATGTGGCGCAGCTACATGTATAGCAGCAACTTCTCCAAGCTGATCCATAGATATCAGAAGTCCGTGCGTGATATCTTGAGGCAGCGTAGACGAGTCACTCGGCCGCGGTCTCCTCAGCAAATGGTAGCTTTCGTCGCCGTTCCTCGTGGCCGTTCTGGATACCGCTATCGATCGGCGTCAAGGTCTTCGAGCGCTGACCATGGCGGCAATGCACCGGTGACTGGTTTGGATCAGGGCGTGACCCAGCCGGCGACAAGTAACAGCGACTTCTCTTTCCCGAGCGCTCCTACACGAGTTGCCTTCTCGATGACACCTGGTTCGCTCGTGGCGTATAGCGATATGCTTATGGAGGCTGATTTGGCCCTCCTCAGAGAGCCCACGTCGGCCAAGCCATACGATATCAAGCTCGCCAATGAACTTCGCGGCGGTACTCTCGTCGAGTTCTACGACAAGCTCGTGGAGGCCAACAGCTTGGTATCTCGCCTCAAGCACGACGAAGACCTTCAGCATGCGCTTATTGAAGTCTACCAAAGAACGGGCATAGCGCCGTTCTGGACCGATTACCTACCGCTTGATACTCAGGAGCTGATGAGGCTAACCAAGCAAATCGAAGACGATGCTTTTCGCCGCCTGCTAATGGACGTGCGAAGTGGGAAAGCCGAGGTTTCCCACGAAAATGCGTACATTCGATTAACGGCGAGGTACCGTCCGGGAACCGATGCCATAGGTCTCATGGAGTTTGCAGGCAAGGCTGCGAAGTTTCTCGACCGGATGGAGATGTAGGATGCAGAATCTCTTCGGATGCGCGGCACGCTACGGAGATAGCGTCAGCGCCGCAAACTCTAAGGCAGACCTGTTACCCAGGCGGAAGGGTAGGATGGCGCGAAGAAGAGAAGAATGGATCGAATTGTACGTCGCTAGTCATAGCGAGAAGAAAAGCCATGCGACAAGCGAATGACGGAGCTCTCGGGTTCGATACAAGAGTGGGGTTTGGCGAAACTACGACGCGACGACGAGATTGGCGAGAAGGAGAGTATGCATGTTCGAGATGGCGGGACTTAAAGCGCGTGGTGCGCAGAAGTACCAGAATCTATTTGTAAGAAAACATATCCGGACGATTCTGAGGCTATGCAGAATGACTGAAGTAGAGAAGCCGCATGACAGTCTGCTAAGCGCAGGCGTTCCCACATACCGGTATGAGGAGACATGACTTACAGCATTGCGATGAGATTCAATACAGTCTAGTCTCATGAACATACGTTTCAATAGTGCAATGTGTGAGGCGCGTCAATAAAAAGAACCAGGAAGTCGCGTCGGACCAACGCGCACCACAGTAGTCGCGCTATGACGTATGCCAACCCAAGCGACCATCCTCAACATCTTCCTTCTTCAACCGCACGATAACATTGGCGTTGGTTTTGTTGCCTGTTGATCCAATCTCTATCATCAAAAAGCGTTCGAGTAACATTACCCCACAACATGACGCCAACTAAAAAACGCCTCGAAAAAGAGTACCACGGCCTGCGCAAAACCCCCGCGGACGGCTACCACGTCGAACTAAGACACGGCGACATCTTCGAATGGACAGGCACCCTCCACGGTCTCGATAACTCCCCCTACGAAGGCGGCACCTTCGCCTTCCACATCCAATTCACCGACGAATACCCAGAGGCACCACCTAAAGTCAACTTCACGACCAAGATCTACCATCCCAACGTTGATGGTAGGACCGGTGTTGTGAGTTGGAAGATGTTGGGAGAAGATTGGCATCACAATAATACGACGGAGAAGGTGCTGATGAGTTTAAGGACGCTGTTGGATCATCCGGAGTTGGAGAGCGCGGTCGAGGTGAAGATTGCGAACGAGTATGCGAATGAGAGGGGGAAGTTTGAGAAACATGCGAAGGAGTGGACGGGGAGGTGTGCGAAGGAAGGGGCTGCGTCGACTGGCTTTACGTAGAGGAAGAGGGTGTGGCCTTTTGTAGGTGAATGATGGGACGGAGGAGCTTATTTAGACACGCCTTTCTCGCGGAGAAGCGCATCTTCATGCGATTATTCTTATCAGTCGCGACATATCCGCAAGAACTCCGGAGGATGTCCATTTCGGTACTCATGCTGGTAGTGTATAATCCCTCTGATAGTATTATATACCCACAGAAAATATCTGAAGCTTACGCGATGAAAACTCCAAAACCGCTCCTGGGAGTCGTCTGATCAAAGATGTGAGAATCTTGTATTCATATACACGTTCCTCTGCGCCACATTCTTCCACTGATTCTGTAAACACAATTCTCCGTCAACTACCCCAATCTCACGCTGGATCTATGTCTTGTCGGCACCAGTCTACGGAAGGCTTCGCTCGGCCCAGACTTGGGTAACTACAGTTCTCAGCACTTGCGAGACGTGCTTTCTGCTGCTTACAGGGGATCATGTATGTATGATCGAGGCAACGTCATTGGATTAGTAGATTGGGAAAGAGACATGGAGGCAACGCCCGAAGACACGATATAGCCTGTCGTACGACCAGTTTCATATTCGCTTTCCAATGGCCGCAGCATCGCCAACCCTATAGCCAAATTTTAGCAAGTCTTGCTCTTCAATCTGGGCTTTCTTCTCCAGTAACTCGTCAACATCCCACGTCGCACCCAGCAACCGGCCATTCAACCACATCCGTTTCTCAATGCTTAACCACACGCAAAACGCGCCACCAAGACCAACATCATCTGTGAGATCTACAAAGTCAGCAAAAGAATACCACAATCATGCAGCGATGCACTCACAAGAACGGAAGCTGTCAGGCGTAGTCTTATCCGCCATCTCAGTATTCACAGCCCCAGGATGCACAGCAACCGCTAGTATTCCATCCGCACCGTACTGCTCTGATAAAAACTCAACAAGACGTGCCTGCGCAAATTTCGAGATGCAATACGCTGTATTCGCAATGTGGCCGTTGGTGATGCATGCTGCAAAGGAATTGATGGCGATAAACGTCTTCGCGCCATCACTCTCCTTTAGCAGCGGAACAAAATGATGCGCAACAAGATATGTGCCTTGTACATTTACGTCGAATACATCTTGGAAATCTTGCGGATTGCCTTGGTCGACTTTCAACACTACCGGTCCTGAGTACCCCGAATTGACGATCACAACGTCCAGCCTTTTCACTTCTTCTTTCACGTTCCTCGCAAGTTGCGCAACGCTTTCATTAGATGTTATATCGACTTCCAGGCTCTTGACCGATGTCGAAGAGTTAAGGGTTTGAGCTTGTTTTGCGACTGCTGCTAGCTCTTGGGCTGAAGATGACCTTGCTGCTAAGATGAGAGACGCGGCACCCGCTTGTGCATATGCGTATGCAATTCCGGCTCCAATGCCGCGAGATGCACCGATTATGAGGACGTTGAGCGGCTTTGGTAATTTGTTGGAAGCTGGGTCTAAGGCGGCGGTCGGTTTCTTATGTATCGTCTTTGTGAAACCGCTGGCGAGCGTGGTATCTCTTGTTCGTTGCGACATGGTGTTATTCTAAGCGGATCAAGGAAAAGACATCGTGGAAGATGTTCGCGGCTCGTTCTCGATATAAAGGTGCGCCTTATCTGGCCCAAAGAGGGTTGGTCAAAATGAGTCATTCTGAGCCGACGCGATACATTCCAGCCTTTGCCTATCTTCATTGTTTCTCGCGCTCACATTATGCATCAAGATGGCGATGAAGTAGCGAACCGGGAATTCGCGTGACATGAGATGAGATCTTGGTACGGTCGTAGATCTGGTAGCGACCCCGCAGACCTCGCATCTTACTCAGCACAGAAAGCTTCCCAAAGCTTGACCATGCCTAAGCAACGCGCACTCTCACCCTAACAACTTGATGCTGTTAGTAATTCAGCCTCCGGAATCACTAACAACGTCGGTGAGGCGATCGAGAGCGGAGATGAGTATATGACGCGAGGCGCTAACGTAGCGCGATGGGCAAATACAGGTGGGTCCAGCCTGACGCGTCTGGGATCATGACGAACATTTCTTTTTCGAGCAATCCTGAAAACCAACATTCCATCCCACCACTCTGCAACCTCCGGGAACATCATGTACCAGTATGTGCTGCAGCAGCAAGCTTCAATTTATAAGCCCAAGTACGCCCTGTGGACGACCTCGGGACGAAAGCCATCCGTAAGCATTATTCGGATGCAGCTAGGCAATTGTAAGATACGCGAGCGAGACCTTTGACGACATTATGATTTGAAATGTAGTTCTTAGGAGCTTCGGGGTATAAATTATGAGGCGCCAGCCCCATCGGCAAGATCACTTCCCGCATACCACATCGACGGCATCACACCCTGAGTACTTCAACATGACACGCACCCTTATCATCTTCGGCGCCGGACCGGGAATCGGCAACCACGTGGCTTCTGAATTCGCGTCTAAAGGCATTGAGCATGTCATCCTTCTGTCGCGCAACACAGAACGTCTCGAGAAGGAAGATGCGCCTTTCGTTGGCAAAAGCAACGCTTCTGTCAAGGTCGACATACTCCGCATCGATCTCGCAGACACAAAGTCCATCCCAGATATACTCAAGCAGCTCGACAGCATGACCGAAGGCGAAGATGTAGAAGTCGTATTCTTCAACGCTGCTCGTATAAAGCCGAACGACGTTCTGGGTGTCAACGTGGAGGAGATTGAGGAAGACTTCAAAGTAACAACTCCGTCTTCGACAACGTTATGAAGGAATAGACGCTAACGGCGATATGCAGACCACGAACCTCGCCCTTTACGTCATAGCACAGCACTACATCCCCCGACTCCAGAGCCTGGCCAAGTCAAACTCGTCGCTCAAGCCCGCTCTTCTCGTTACTAACAGCCATCTGCCGTGGGATCCGGTACCGCAACTCCTCTCACTGAGTCTGGTGAAGGCTTCGCAGAAGAACATGGTGGAGAGCTTCAGTCGTGCGTTCAGTGATAGCGGTGTGCACATCGGGCTTATCTATGTCGAGGGAGTTGTAGCGCCAGAGAATAAGGTGCTGAACCCCAAGACGATTGCGGAGAGGACTGTGGCATTTTGGGAGGGTGGGGAGGGGGTTGGTGTTCATATCAAGGAGGAATGATGTTGGGATCATGGACACGAATGTTAGCATAAAAGCCTGTGTTTAGCTCGAGTATGGCCTTGCTAGTATTGCCATTATGTCAATGGCATTCCTTCATCGTCATGTGCAAAAAGGATAAGGTAACAAGATCGACAAGATCGCAGTTTGACCAGACGAGTTTGGCATTTTGGGTGCAGAAACGACACTACAGATTTGAATATTTCCTGTTATCATTGATCGCATTCACATCGCAGTGTTACCGCCCGCTAACACCTTGTCCTATGTCAAACAAGTTTAAACGAGCAGGCCTCCTTGAAAGCGTCCCGGTAATCATCAAAGTGAAGATTCATCTGTGAGCAGTCATCGTAGCCAAACCCTACTCTTTTGAATGTACCCTCGTACGTGGCTTCCCAAACGTGACCATCCTCCTCCCACGTATACGGCTCTCCCTCGGTAGATATCCTCTCCAAGAACAAGCCCTGGAAACACCATTTTGAGCCATCGCTACTCGGGACGCATAATATAGGCGCGAAATGCGTGACGCGGGAAAACACGGCTGTGTCCGTCGGGTCGTCTGGTATCATGTCGATGACTGCGGGGCCGATGACATCAACGTCTGCAAAGCGTTCGGGAATGAGGAAAGGGTTGTACGAACGCACTTCCCCCTGTTCATCCTCATCAAGTGGAAACGGTGACCGGACTGGGAGGCAAAAGCCGGTGAGCGTCAGCTCACACTTGCCCGCTCCGAATACCTCTGTCTCGGAGCTATCAGACTCCTTGTGCTCCCAGGTCGCCACTCGTGTGTAAATCACAACATTCGAGTCAAAGATTAAGTCATAGTACATGACTTTTCCAATAGTCGTCATCCAGGACCAAGATGGCGCCATCTTCTTCAGTGTAGCAACTGCCTCTGAGTCGCCAGGCTGCTTCCGATGGGGACGAAGCCACAACAGCCACTTTTCTAGCTGTGGTTCCCAGAGGCCAAAGAGGTAATCTGCCTCCTTAAACTTGTCAGGCATGGCTTGTTGCAACGCTCCCACTACGCCTTGTATTGCGGCTAAGCGATCAGTCCATTTGGTCAATCTCTTTTCCGAATACCGTGCTACAATCTCAGCCCATAGTTTCGCATGGTTGAAATTGGGTTGGTCGTTCGCGCGGGAGTCTTCTACACGGAGTAGCTGACCGAGAGTACGCAGGTTGAAGAAATTCTCGTCTTCTGCGACAGATCGAACGGTGTTTTCATTTGCCTTTTTCCGACACTCGCATCTCTCGTGCTGGCTACACTGCCAGGCTAGTTCAGATGGTGTAGCATATAGTATTCTGCGCGCTAGAAAGCTCTCTTGGAACACCCATGCGCGGGTCGCGAGGGGGGTGAGAAGTTCGTCAATGTCGACACCGTCTATATTGGGGCGCGACGAATGATGTGCTGGATTGCTCCAGTATTGTTCCTCGCGCTCGCGAATGGAGAGTTGGACTGTGCGAGACGTGCCGTTTGGCATGCGAAAGGGTACCTCAATGCGTTTGAGAGGTGCATTCGCAGCAGGGCTGAGGGACAGAAATCCTTCCTGGACGCTGGATGCACTCTGTGCCGAGATGACCAGCTCGGCTCCTGGGTAGATGGACTTCATGCGTGGAATTTGGTCCGTCCAGTCTTGTATATCATCTTGTACTATGCATAGCGCATCAATCTGTTGTATGAGGTCAGCTTCTGGGATATATACAGTTCATGTATTAGTTGCTTTACCCATAGGTATCGCAAGCCAAAAGCCTTGCACACGTGGATGGCATCGGCGAGGGTGGGAGGGAGTGTCGAAATGTCGATGCCTTGCATATGGGTCTCGAGATTACTTTTCAACGTCTTGAGGGGGCCGGTCGTGCCCCATGCGTAACTGAGACAAGCATAACCTTCCTGATGTTGTGATGAGGCTGATGCGATCGATGCGCTATCCACAAGGCGGATAGGATTAGTCGCGAGATCGAGGACACGACGTGGCCATTCACCCTTCTCTGGCGCACAAAACGAATGATCAGCCTTGCATTGCTCGAACCAGCTGCGCGCTTGGCTCAAACGGTCTTCGAGGTTGCTTAATAGCTCTCGGTACTTGTCTTTTTCACTATTGCGTATACCGAGCCACGGAATAGCAGAATCTTCTCCAGCATCTGTTAGGTTGTTAGCATATTTTCGAATACTCCCGAATTCCTCATTCCTTTAGAGAAGAGTTGGGTCGATAGGAAGAAGCCTGAATAGCTATAAAGCACTTACCAACCGGAGTGTAGATCTGGTAATCATTCGGTCTCTTGTCCACATACTTTCGGCCAAACAGCACCATACCGCCATATGGTTCACCCTCCTGCTTGCATGCCACATTTAAGACATTCTGGGGGTCGAAAAGATGCCAATAGTCGACCGCTTCTTTGCGCCTAATATCGATAGTCGTGAATTCCGGCCGTCGAATATCGGTGACGGCATCAAGAGCCTGCAAGATTATTGAACATCCTTGACATTTGCCAGCAGAAACAAGAAAGTCTGCCGTTAGCGTGCTGGTCTCGAAGCCGTTGGCGAAATGGTGGCATATGGTGCATGATGGGGTTTCCTGGTCTCCTCCGTTTGTGGGAGGCTGTTTTGTGTCGTTCGTGTCGGATTCGACGCGGATCTGCTCATCAAGAGAAGGTTGGAGATGATCCGAGATCATGCGCGCACGCGGCGGCGATGATGCAGATGTCTCTACCGCTTGGGCAAAAGCTTCCACCATGAGCTCTATGAGCTCAGACCAGTCTGACGTCATCGGCACTTGCCTAAGATGCGAACGAATCGAGCCGCCTGCGATAGCACCTGATCGATGCAGTAGTACCGACCTGTTTTACAGAAATCGGGAAAGATAGAACTCTTGTATGTTTTAAGGCACGTCGCTTTCGTATACGAATGCCTCAGCTGACTTGGCAATCCTTCCAAGGTCCTAAAGCATGCTTCAGCCGCACAGAATTAGGCAGGTTCGAACAGCTAAGGGCCGAAAGCTCAACATACTTACCGCAAAGATCAGCCGGCTCTAGGCTTCCTTTTCAAGAACAAAAAGTCGCAGAGCTTGCATCCATATGCATCCGCTCCGAGATTCGCGGACAATGCAGGCGATTCACGAAAACAAATCCAAACTTATGAACATCGCATACGTAAATTGTACATCAAAAGAATATTCAGAAGGCTCGAGATTCAAATTTATCGCTTGTCAAGTCATAGAAACCCAGCACCACACCCACCCAAAACCTTCAAATGGTATACCCAAAACGCCAATCCCTATCCCCTACACCCCCTAGCAACCTCCACCACCACCACCTCCGCCTCCATCACCTCCTCCACCTCCACCACCGCCGCCATCACCCCCGCTGCAACCTCCACCATCTCCTCCACTAAAGAAGCCACCGCCGCCTCCATATCCTGCTGTGTATGCGTATGCGCCTCCCGTGTCGCTACCCCCGCCGTAATGCCGCTTGTTACGCTTCGAGACCTTTGTCTGCCGCATCGGGGGCGGATATTCGGAGGGTGATTTGGACATTCCACAGCCCATTTTGGCGGGTGTTGGTTTGTGTTGTTGGTGTGAAGGTTTGTGGGTTGTGGGTTGCGGGATGTGAATGTGTGGTCGTATGACGTTGTCGAGTTTGGTTCTGGGTGATGTTGGTATGCAAAGATATGTCGAGTGGGTTTGAGATGAGTGAAGTACGAAGATGCGTATGGGTTCTCTGTTAAGAAGACGTCGTGGATATGTCGAAAGTTGGTTCGTGATGCCGATACACCCTCATCCTCCCACGGAACCCTCGACCCTATATACCACCCACAGTACTCATCATGCTCACCTTACCACACTACCAGCCACAAAATCTGCCTTGTCCGTACACAGCACTGTCATCAGGCCCCCCGTACACAGCAACAACAGCACCCACTACCGTCACAACACCTACCCTCATTCCGTCCTATCCAAGCGAAACATCCAGTCGCATCACCCACTAATCCCACAAACGTGACCGCCCCAGCCCCAACCCATCAGCAACCAGGCGTCCAGCGCCCTACTACTACCCAATCCAGTTCGTCGTGTTCGTTTACTCGGATAAGGCATCCCCCACCCGCCCTCTACACCTAGACCATCAAAACGACCATCACGGATTAGGAAGTAATCGAGCGCATACACCTACACGCTGCGCACAGTGTCTCGCAATGCCACAAATGCGCAAATCATTTACCGCATGAGCTTCGCAGGGCTGAGTCTACGGTAGGAGTAGGTGGAGGGAAGGACGCTAGAAGCGAGGCTGTGCCCCGTTCTGCCGATCACGTGGAACTTGCAACCTTCGATGCAAAGCCCTACGTCGGCCCGAAACCAGCACTTCGGTGTCCTTTATCGGGTTTAGACCAACCCCGGAATCTTCCATGGAAGCAGCGAAGAACATTGTTATGGAGTTAGCATCGCATCTAGAAAGCTGTCAGGCAGAGAGTCAAGATAGCGAGCTGTGGCTGTGTATTCTTGTCGATCGATCGCGAACTTGGTAAACTTGTGATATAGTACTGTCTGCCGTGGAATCTGAAAGGGGACCTGCGTACTGATGTACAACGCAATGCCGCCCGCGATATCGATACTATGTCGCCTGCGATACGCGTATTGCGCCGAAATCAGGGTAAAGCGTCCCGGGACGATTTGCCTCAGTCTTCACCGTACTCGACCTGGTCACTACCACCTCACAGCCTCCCATCTCACACATACGACGAAAACCCCGCATATTGAACTTTGAAAATTATGTCATTGGAGTATATAGCGCCGTGTCGATCGATAAACATTCACAGAGACAGGAGACCCAAGTATATAGAAGGAAAAAGAGAAGCAAGGGAAAAAGATGCTAGAAGCATACAACACACAAGAAATGGGGGTCTCTCCAAACTCCCGGCCGAACCACCGCCCCTAGAAAGAAAGGTCTCAAGAAAGCGCCCGTGGTCTCCGAACCGTTCAGCCAATCTAGTCGTCGTAAAGGTTTTCTTTTTCGCGGGGGGAAATGATAGGGCGTAAAAATCTTGGGTGTCCAAAGAAGAGCGCAAGATCTCCGATTTGCAAACTCCCCTGTTCTAACACGTCTGCCGTGAAATCTCGATCCAGAAATGCGAAAAAAAGCGTGGAAGTAGCCAAAAGAAGTGAGAACCTCTCGTATCCGCCCCAAGACGCTCGTTGTACGACGTAATCAAGTCTGCCCCAAGCACGCGCGTGTGTGACTCCAATGATGTCGTTTCGCGTCTCACTTTCCGCCCTGCTTCTTCGCCTTGAGCGCAAGATGCGAGTACACCCATCCACCGCCAAGCGCGAGGAGTACGCCGAACCATTCTCTTCCGCTCAATATCTTGCCCTCGCTGTACCACCCTATACTCAGGATCATGATGGTCTTGAGATGGCTGACGATGTTGAATGTGAGGGCGCTGGTGCGACCGATGATCAAGAACTGACTCAAGTTGTACATCGAGGCCATGATGCCGGAGGCGCATACGCTCCAGAGGATGTCGGTGGGTACGGTTGATAGGTTCGGGATGGTGTCGAAGAAGGGGACGAAGGGGATGAGAAGGCAGACGGAGATTGGCGCTTGGTTGAGCAGGAGTTGGGGTGGCGAGACGGCGAAGTCTTCGATCTTCTTGCCGATCCAGATCTGGTACAGAGCGGTACTGCAGAATGCCAGGGTCGCGACGATGACGCCAAATAGCTGGGTCTTGGCCGCCTCGTTGATGGTGAAGGAGACGCCAATGCATGTTGCGAGAATAGCAGCCAGCATGTATCGTGTAACCTGCTTTCGGAAGAGGACGAAGTTGATGAGGACGACGGTCGGCGTGGTCATGACCTTGGAGAGCTGGTAGAAACCGATCGAGTTGAAGGTCAAGCTAAGGTTGCCAAGCACAACGTAGCCGGCGAAGAAGCCGCAGACGGGCAGCATGTTCCAGACATTCAGCCGTACGGCCTTGAAGGCATGGAAGGGACGGAGGGTCGAGATGAAGAGGACGAGACCGGTGGCTGTGAAATGCCACATGACGACCATGAGCTGGCATCCTTTGAGCTGCTTGTCGCTGAACACTCTATCCGACTGTCAGCGGGTCCCCCACTAGCTCTACTGCATGTTGCATACCGCTTGCTCAGGAAGATCAGGCCCAGTGTTGACAGCGTATTCAGAGCGATCCAAAAACACGTTATCAGCTTCTCCTTGAGCGGCACTGGCGTAGGCTCGGCTACGGGCTTCTCGAAAGTGGGCAGCTCTTCGAGCTCGTGGGACTCTCGGGGGTCAACATTGTCGACGAGACCCTCGATTGAAGGGCGCTTCTCAACTGCGTGTTCAGTTAGTCCCTGGTGTGTCTTATTTCTGGAAGGTGGTATGCCGACGCCCATGTGTCAAGGGTCTAGGCGGTGTCCGGGGTTCGACGTACCCATGGTATGTGATATTGAGTTGAGAATGTAGCGAGCGACGGTGGAGGGCTCGTGTGGGCTATGCCTTCATGCCAGTGCCAGTGGGAAGGCGCGAGCTGGCAATGGGAGGGAAGGCGTAGGACGAGGCAGGCGCGGGCTGACTTGGTTGTCGCACGGTAGCGGGTGGGCCGGGGAGGGTTGCGGCGGTGCAGCAGATCGTCCGGTGTGGCTTCAGACGCGGACGATGCAGTTGCAACGACCAGAGACAACAACAGAGAGGCAGAAGAGGATGAGGCGGTTCGGGAGGGCTGCCGGAGAAAAGAGACAGGCGAGGCGGGGAGGGCCAAGGGGGTACACGACAAAAGGCCCAAGTAAGATGCTATCCGAAAGGGATCCTCAGACGCCAAGGCGACTGCTGAAGGGGGCGAAGACGATGCAGGGTTCGTTGTTCAGGCACGTGCCCGTAAGCCACAAGCCTCATCTCCACGGCCAATCAATCCCACCTTAGCGCCACGCTGTCCAGCCAAATCTACGAGGTTAATTTTAGGCCTCGATGCGGTAGCGCTACTGCTTTTGGTTCCGTCCACTGTCTATACGGGCTGGCAGCATCGTGAAGAGCTTCAATCTCCTCGAACTCGCAGTGTGATATACAGTGGTGATCAGCTTGGCATTCTCCCTTACCCACTTCCCAAGACACATTGGTCGTTTGGGCGTTGCTTCTGGAGTGCCGACACATCCGGCTCCGCTCCGCCCATCTCGGGCAGAATATCTCCCTCGTAGCACCTGTGTTGCTCCGATTACGAATCTTGGTGCCCTAACACGGCGGACGCAGCATTTGGTGTCCCTTCCGGATCCGCTGGGTGGTGCCACCTACGACTACCCGTACCGGTAATCTGCATGTTTGCGCGTCCTGTTGCATAGTCGCAACTCTGCAACTTGTTGGCATTGTGAAGGTTTTGGGGGTATGCTTGTACGGTTGCCAGCGGAGATTTCGCTGCGGACTCCAAGATTTAGTTGCACCGAGCGCCGAATCTTATGTCAGTTTGGTGTTCTCATAGACTCAATTCAGATAAGGAAGGTACGACCATGATACAGTCCACCAATCCTGTGCGACATGGAAGTAACGTGTTCTCTTGAATTTTTAACTCCTAGTTCTATGCAGAAGGCGTAATTAACAGCCTTCAAGTGATCGACCCTAGCGCATAGAGAAAGACGGATAATGTACACTCGCAAGAACCCACACCGTACAAAGAAAATCAACATGATCAGTGTCC